CACAGTGCAGCCGGGTGCTCACGGGAGGCTCCAGTGACATCCTGTGTCACCCCACGTGCAAAACAAAAGGGAATTTTAAAAAATCCACCTGATTTCATTCATTGCTTAGTTGGGAAAGTAGGGGAATGCCAACTGCGCAACTGTTAGAAATGATTCACTGCACCTTCTACTAAGAAAACTTATCTTTTCAAATGGACACCACACTGACTAAAGTGACTTGGTAGTAAGAACCAGCCATAACAAACCCATGATGGCATTTATCTTGATGGGAAGAATTAAAGACATTTAAAACAATTTTTTGTTTAACCTCTAGCATGTGGGTGGCTGAAGTCCATCCTCACCTCAGCAAAAGCACAAAACAATCTTGCATGTTTTTGGTACTCCACGCCAGCTGGATGACTCAGGCTCTATTTCACCATCATTTCATACTGGTATGTACTGGTGCTGCACAGAAAGAGGTGTTTCTACCTTCTCCCTTCCCTCAGCCATTCATTCCTAGCCTTGCCCCCTCCTCTACCAACACAAATACGTTTGGTAGCACAAGGAGAAACACTGAAGTGGATGAAGAACTGAGTCACCATGAACTGAGCCGATTAACATTCTTTAGCTGTAGGGGGACCTGAACCAGTCTCCCTGTTCAGGTCAGAGCACAGAAGTTTGTCCTGGCATGAAAAGCAGCCAGGAGACAGAACAGGAATGAGCCTGGTAGCAAGCAAGACTATTGGGATCACCTTTTCCTATTGGTAGCACTGACTATGCTAACTTACTGGATTGTGAAACTACAGCGTTTCGTAAGATTTATCTCTCAACCTGAGGTATTACAGCAAAACTGTAAAAACAGTAGCACTAAATCTGAAAACAGCACTTTTCTGTAAAAGTATTAATACTATTTCAACTTCTGTAAATATATTTATAAACAGAAATGTATGTTTTTCTTTCAATACCAGTGCACACACAGACTACAAGCCTCAAAAGCACAATAAAAATAAGGAGGGGAGGAATTAATTATTAGTATTTACAGATTTATTATGTTAAATGTGATAACACACAAATAAACATTACAATTGAAGACCAAACAAAGAAAACACAGCTAAACAAGCATGTCCTTTGATAAGAGCAATGAGAGTAATTAAAATGAGTATTCTGAAATAATTTTAATGTCTATAACAGATCTAAGGGTATGACAATGATCTAACAAGAGAAAGGTTAGATCACTTGAGCATTTTTCTCCTCAAGTCTAAATAGGAAATACGTTGGCAACTAGAAATAAAAATCATGGTGTTGCTCAAATTCTTCAACAATCCAAAACATCTACTATCCAAATGCCAAAACCTCAAGTATTATAACATACAAAGGAGATACGTGAGCAAATCCATGGAGTACTTTTAAATACAATAAAGACTATTATATTCATGCCAATATGTGGAATTTGGAAAAAACAAACAAACAAAAACCAAAACAAAAACCTATACCAAAATCTACTAAAATCATTGCAGAAAAGGCTACTTGTCTCTTCTTCTAAACAATAAAGTTTGTGCTCACTCATCAGGAATGGTGGAGAGACACTGAAGTCAAATTAAAAGGCACAAAACTACAGTATTCAACGTATATTGTTTCCAGAAGCATTCACAATAGTTCAATCTTTGTAAAACAGAAAAAGCAGTTCTTCTCATCTCCACATTAAATTACAATACATTCAAGTGCAAGGAAAGAGCAAATTCTAATTAACAGAATATTACACCACACTTGAGTACTACGTAACTCTACCCTAAGTATCAAACAGGGTGTTTTTCAACACTGTAGGATCAGCTTTTAGAGAAGTGAAAACATTCACTTTTTAACAGTTTCATAAAATACAAAGTGATGAGGCTTGCTTTGTTTTCAGCAACGTTTCTTGGTATCAGAAGAAAAACACAGGAACGAGCATTAGAGTGTGAGAAATAAAATTCAGCTGTCAAACTGAATTCCAG